GCTCAACTCACAACAGTAACCTAGAAAGTCGGGTTACTGTTAACGGTAACACCATGATTTCGCAAAAGCTTCTTTATCTAGTTGACCATCACACGCACATTTCAGTATTTGCTGAAATGGAACAGATACCAGCTGTTCTTTAGACTTCACGATTTAATATGATTCGAACACATCACAGTTATCAGGAGCCTCATGTTTTCATGGCGCCTCACGTGGGCTTTTTTTTCCAAATGAATATATCTGAATTGCTTATTTCAAACACTGCATCCATTGGGAAAAATTAAACTGCAGATACTGATTTGTTTAGGACAGGCATCTCTGGAGAGGCAGCTCTGACAGCTCCTGTGATGACAGTATGGGGGAGTGAGGCTCAAGAAAATAACCACATTCAGAAATCACAGGAAAGCAGAAAGATGCAAAAGGGATGAGTTTAAGGGTAAGGTTGGGGGTGGTTTGGGTTTTGTTTTGGGATTTTGGTTGGGGTTTTTTTGAGTTGCAATTTTTTAAAAAGGCTGAAGCAGTAAAAACAACACAGAAAAAAAAATACTTTTTTTTTATCCAATTGACAAAAAAATTTATAAAAATAAACAGTATTCATAATTGCAATAATGAATCCTAATAAAACATGTTTCTTTCTCCTCCACTATTCCATCTTCCATATTGCTTGGAATGTGTAAACTATCTATAGCCAGAAAGTGAGATAAAGTGTAACCAGTATGTAGGCACAACCTTTACCTTCTTTTCTCTAAGTTTAGCAATACTTAGGTCATGTAAGTGCTACTTTGAAAGGATTCTTTAATGTATCTCTCTTTATGTATACATATACATATATACAGACACACACTGTGCATAAGTGTATGTATTTTATATGTAATGTGTGGATATATATACACGTATATGTATATATATATAAAATATGTGTATATATATAAATAATGAGTCTTAGAAAACTCCCAGCTATCTATTCAGTTCCCCAGATCTGGAATTTGATCAGACTAGTAACAACCTGTCAGCTTTAAATATTGGACTATTTGTTTCCCTGTGTCCAGTGCCTAAGATCCTGTTAATTACCTAAACTCTCTTTCTGTAGGTCTTGTTAATTACCCGTCTCCTGTCTCAGAGGACCTTGTTAATAACTTGTACAATCTCTCTAAAAAGGTCCTAATAACACGTTAAAATTAAAGATGTTTTTCTTTTAGCACTTGTCAAGTGGTGTAAATTGAGAAATTTGCACATCACTTTATTAGCTGACTCTAGTGTATTTTCCTAAACGCAAACAATTGCAGAGAGACGAGGATGCGAGGATGCCCAAGGTTTGGATGTGGCACAAAACCCAATCTTTGTTTTCCAGGAGTAACCCTCCATTTCTTTAACTGTGTTCAATGCAAAATCCACGTGGCTTCTGCCTGCAAATTAACCTCTTGAGAGCCACGACAATAGCAGTCATTGTAAGAATGAATGCAATTTAAGATAGTATTAGGCCAAAGTTTCAAAGGAGTGGATTAAGAAGTATGAAGACAGAACTATTACTGGTAAATGCTGGCTTAAAATGCTAGACGTATTGTGTGCTTAAGAATTCTTCATTGGCTTTATAATATAAATCCTCTGGAATGAGCAGGTTTTGTAATATTTGCAAAAACAGCATTTCGTGTTTCACTGTGAGACTGCAGCATTTTTAAGTTGTCAAGAAATCAGCTCATAAATATCTATATTACACCTATACCAGACAATAAACCCCCCCGAATCTTAACACTTATGTAATACTGTAACACCGTATCTATAAAACCCTTAAAAAATACTCATTTATCCACTCAGCATTTGTAAGAGGTAACAAAATACCATCCCCATTTTACAAATCAGGAGCAGGGAAACTTAAGTGATTTAGCCAAAGCCACAGAACAAGCCTTCGCCAGAGCAGAGATTAATAGAAATTAGGGATACATATTTTGTGATTTCCTGACAACTAGAAGTATACACAAACCAGGCAGGTTTTGTTTTGCTTTCCCAAAATACTTCTTAAACCTTTTTGAAATAACAATAATAAATAATTGTAATAATAAATAGTAATTCTCAAATAACCCTGGGATACTTCTTGCTTTTAGGAGAAAAAAAATCCTGTAACTGTTGCTGAACCACTTCTACATTTTCTGTGTCAGCAGCTAAAAAATGTGGAAGATGTATCTACCTTCATTCTTTTAATTAGTAAATAAGAGTAATTAGTGACAGAGCCCCCATACAGCTAGCTAGCACTTAATGACTTGTTGGGTGAAGGGCTATTCTGCAGCTCTGTTCTGTAACTCACTGATGCTGTTGTGAGCTCCTATCTTGCATGGCATTACTGCCTGGTCAATAACCACGTTCAGTTAGGACGGACTTGATCCTGACTCAAAGCTCAGCAAAGTCACTGAAAAGACTCCCATTAACTTTACAGAGACTGGTTCACTGGTGCCAAGAACCTGACCTTCACACTGTCCACAGGAAGGAAATGGTTTGGTCAGTTTTTTGCCCACTAGAAGAAGGTTGCTGCGGGGTTTTTAATTCCACTTTGCACTGTCTCTAGCCTGGTCCCATGGACTGAATGTCCTTTTGTTGCTACAAGGTGCTCTTGGAATACATCTTCCAGCTGAGTTTCATCAGACAGCAATCCAGTTCACATGCCACAGGACCGTTTCATCACTTAAAGCAAGGCTTAGCTAAGTGGAGTTAACTGGGAGATCCACGTGCAAAACAAACTCACAGCAGAACACTGATTTGGGATACACCTTGATAAAAAAAGATACTGCCTGGTTTAATTGCAGAAATGGCATCCATCCCAAAGAGCTTAATAGCATGTTGCATAAATAGAAAACAACTCAGAAGTCTGAACTCCCTGTGTATGTTTCCTGCATACTGAATTTGTTACTGAACTTCATTCATTTTGTGCCCACAGATTTATACAACTCTTTCTTCACAGTGTTACTGGTTTGAAAAATTACAACCGGATTCTATTCAACAAATCCTTCACAGATAAACGTAAACTTAAACTGTAAACTTATTAAATATGCACATTTTCTATTAGTTTCTACTTCAAAAGGAAATCATTGTACAAGATATATTTGAAAGAGAGTGAACTTGTTCTAAGTTTCTCACAGAACATAATACAGGAGCACATTAAAACTGAGAGCTTCTAACTGAAATTATTACATGCTAGATATTATTCCATAACAGCTGTCTTATAGAAAAGGTCAAAATGTTTAATTTTTTTGCTTTTTGAAAACAACAGAATATCTATTTGTCTTATCAAAAGTTTATGTTTACATAAAAGTCAAGAACTAGTAAAAGAGACTTAGACAAAGGGGGAACAATTGACTAGAGTCCTTCTGAACGGGCACTGTGATGAGCTTTTTTAATTACAAAATAAAGAGAAAAAAGCCCATCATGATTACCATTAAAAAATTTATATTTATAAAGATCTGCTGCATTCAAGAGCTTCAAAAGATTTCACTACTTGTATCTAGCATCTGCCTGAATACATTTTTGTATTGAAAAAAAATAAATGCCATGTAATTTTAATTGTTATTTAAATGATTCCTCTGTAAAGGAGCTCATTCAAACAGAAGTTTAACTTCTGACAAACCAAGCTACATCCTAACCTTACTCTAATCTAGAGAAAACCTTTATGAAATAAATAATATTCTTAGACTGGCTGTAAACACTTTATTTAAGACACTAGGAACTAACCTGACTCACAGAAGATGCTAAGAAGATAATTCATTGAAGTCTGTATGAGCTTCTGGCAACTGAATTTTTTCTATAGTAGTTCCATTTCAGTTTATCTAATTCATATCCATGATTAGTTTTATTGAGAAAACGATTGTAAGTTTAAATCAGGAGTGCATGCATTCTAACCTATGAATAAGACTGAACTGGGATACAGTAAGATCAATCTGTTCCAAAATCTTAAAGAACAAGTTAACAAGAAACATTTGTTTTAAAGAAAATACTACTGTTTCATTAATTATGGAATTAATAGACATGGAAAAGGCAGATTTGTTAGAACCATGTTTACCATGATTTATTTCACAGCTTTCAAATTCTAGTTTGGAGCATTTGAATTTTGAATTCAATTTCTACCAAATTTAAGCCATTAACTAGAAATGAATCATTACCTTAAAAAACAAAAAAAAAACCCAACTGTTAATTTTTGGCATTAATATATAGAAAAAAATGCAAATGAATAAAAGTTAAATAATTGACTTAAACATTTATCTGTTGGGAACGGTATTATTTGGGGTGTGTTTGTGTGTGTGTGTGTGTATATATGTGCATATATATAGGGAGAGACAGAGACAATGTATCTTCCCTGACTAGCAAACAAAAGCTCAAAAGGAAACTAACTATGGGATACAATTCTTTTCTCCCCCAAGGAAAACAAGTAAACTGTTGGTAGACAAACAAAGATTAAAACAGATTATTTAAATGAAAGTTTATTAACAGCCCAGGTAACTTAGTTCACTCTGTTTAACACATAAACTGCTGTCTTGTGCAATGATTTGAATACACAGGAACTCAGCAAAGCTACAAGGAGCCAAATGAATTCAAGCATAATAAGTGCCCATGGGTGCACCCATTTTGATTTCGTTACTCACATTTTCTTCACCCTTTTGTTTATTCCGTTTCATCTTTCCCCTGAAACCTTTCCCTCTTAAAACCTGACTTAGGGCACTGTAATAATTAGCAATGAGTGTTCAGTGAAAACAGAGGACTTTCAGGAAGGACAAACAAGGTGTTCCACAAACATAAGTACCCAAGAACATTCACAGTATGTATTAGTAATGTAAATGTAACTTCGAAATGAAGTAAGAAAAGATCCGACTACGTAAGTTCATAACTTTTACTGAGAAACAGATAAGCAATGATATAAATGTTTCTAAAGCACTAAGATAGTGTTCCTTGACACTTCACATTTTCATTTATATAACATGTTCAAGATATCAGATCAAAATACAGCAAAAACCTACCTTGAAGACGGCAACATGCTTGTAGGCTTGAAGTTTGTCAGAAACGGATTAGTTGAATCATAATCAAAACTCTCCTGATGAGTTTCACCGAACACACTAGGTGATTTCAAGTCCGTAGTACTGTCTGATCCCCCATTGCTCAGTTTATCTGACCTCCTGCTATCTTTTTTCCCAGTCACTCTTTCAAACAGACTAACTTTCTCTTTTTTCTCTTTTTTAATTTCTTTTCTGATGTCGACAGGTTTGGAAAACAGGTTTATGTTTTGATCCCATGTTGCTGGGCTTTCTTCAAACGGGTTCTTCTGTCTTGGCAGTGTAGCAAATTTTTGGGGTAACGAAGCACTTACATTGGTGAATGGGTCGTTTTGTGCTTCAAGTGCAGTTTCATCAGCTGTGCTGCCAAGCTGGTTCATTTTAGAAGTGTCAACACTTAATGTCCTTCTATGTGGAGATTTCAGACTCCCTGCAAAAAAAATCTGTCATTAGTATATTATCAATGAGACACTACAATATAGCTTAGAGAACCCATTTTAGCTTAGGTCTAGAAACTTTGAAATTGATTATGGATAAGCACTACAGCAATGTTTTGTTTCCTGTGTGTAAGCTAAGTTCTAAAGGAAGATAGCTATGACTAGAGTGTGGGCATTCCAGAAAGCAACAGTAACTTTGAACAATGCAAAGTATTTTCAGTTCTTTGTATAAATCAGGCTTAAAACTTCAGTGATAGGTTTAAACTTTTAAAACAGATTTTTATTTTTGACAAGATGCTATTTTGCCTAGAGTTCCCTCTAGAATGTAATGCTTCACTACAATATACTCTTAAGTGAGGAAATTAAGAAGAAAAATGCTAAATTACTATATATTATGACCACTTTGTTATCTTTTATGTTCAGAAACAGCAATTACGAGTTACCACTAACTAATGGAAGTGAAAATAAAAGGCTAGCAATAATACTTAACTTTCTGGCCTTGTAATTGCTTCATAAACTAAAGAAACAGACTTCTGAATGCTCTAATAGCAGTGGACTGTAATTATAATGGCCATGATACTTACCACCTTCATCAACCGAACCAAAAGACTCCAGCTGACGCCTAAAAAGATGAGAGTAGCCAACTGTGCTGGATTTCATTTTTTCTGCAGAGACATGAGATCCTGTTAAATCTGACATTGAATGAGCTGAGGATAACCGCTGAGGGCCCAACAGGAAAGGTTTTTTTGGTTTTGATTTCATTTGTACTTCACCACTACATACCCCTACATTTGCATCAGGTATGTGAGTACTTGGGATGATTGCAGAGGATGTGTCTGAAAATGTCCCATCATTTTTTCGACCTTTCATTTTGTCTTTTAGTTTAGCAAAAGGGGATTTGGTTTTGTCCTTCATTGACAAATCAAACATACTCGCTGTCATGTTATTCCTCATAAACTGAATATTGACTTTTATTTCTCCTCTGTCTTTAGTTCTCTTCCCTTGTCTGGACTCCAGATGAAACCACCTTAAAGGAGAGAAAGAGCAAGTTAAATTGTATTTTCTGGTTAGTTTATTAACATATCTGGGGAATATCACTGAAATTATGAAAATCAAATTCCATAGCAAAAATTAAAACATCCCTGTACTGGAAAACTTCTTTGCCTATATTTGTTTTTGAAGAAAAAACTTCAATATCTAAGCAAGCACGAAGCTCTTTCCAGAGTTCATCTGGTTTGAGAACCAAAACTAACTCTGCGGAAGCTTACTAAGCTTCATCAAAGCTAAGGGGCTCACATCTGCTTATGAAGGAGAACTGCATCTCAGGTTAATTATAAATACAAATAAATTTCATTTTGCTATTCAAAAGAACACTTTATATTTTTCAAGTGGCCTTTATTTAGCAGGGATGTTTATTACCTGCATGTATACTGCATGGCAAATATTTCATCTAGTAACCTTTTTTCCTCTGATTTTGCTTAGGTTTATACACTAGGAAACATTTTTCCCCTCTGTCCCTTCCTTCTAAACACTGGATAAGATTTATTTCAACTGTACCAACACTAGCAGTGAAATATCTGAGACTCCTGGACAGACAATTACCATTTTGGTTCTGCACCTGCAACCCCTGCTGATGTTGAGGCAGCTTTACTAGCACCAGTGGCAGAACAGTGAGCACATAGGTATATCCAGCAGGCATCCCTTCTTTTGCAGGTCATTAACGTCAGGCTTTGGAACCATGACAAAAAAAGAACAGTTCTCAAAAAGAGATCAAAGGTATAATCATCTGTTTCAAAAAGCCAAGCGTGTTTCTTTGCCAGGTCCAACAAAGGCTTCATTGATTATCCCACTGTCTTATTCATTCCCTATTGTGCTGCATTGTCCCATGGAAGCATCTGCAGAATTACGGCTCAATCTTCCTTCCACAGCTTCACCTACACGAATGACCAACAATCCCTTCTCCACACCCATCATCAAAAGCCTTCCTCTATTTCGAAAAAGGCACAAAGGCATATTTCAGATCTGCCAGCTCCAAAGAAATGCTCTAAACCCAAGTCAGGAGAAATTCATGAACTCATACTAATGCAGCAGTGCACTATCACGATGAAGTAACTTTTGAACTGGAGACTAAGAAATGAAATTGCCTATCAGCACAGATGCAAAATTGATTATGCAGTTACACATACATTATTCAATACTGCCAAATATAGAAAACAAGGGCAGGAAAGGAGAAAAATAACCCTCAATTTCCTTTCAGATTTCATAAATATTTTTAAAGGTGACAGCTGAAATCGAATTTTCAGGCAGAGATACTATTTTCTGAGCTGAGAAAATACTTCTCCAAGTGACCCATCAAAGAAGTAACAAAACAATAAAGAGTATTAGGACTTTTTTTTGTTGCTTTGTGATGTCCAAAAGGGTTTTTTTATCCCATACTAAAGCAGATCAACTCTGTCCTGGCAGTGGACAACGTGAATCCAGACCAGTAGATCCAGAAGGTCAAATTGGTAGGAGGACAATTAAACTTTCAGGAAGAAAGCTTTTCTTCTGTTGTGAGGTAACTTCATTTATATATTTTAAGTTAAATACAAAACCTGAAATATGCTACGTGTCCGAAGATAGATGGATTGCTTTTCTTTTTGGTTAATAATGTTTCCCTTCTTGGTAACTGATTCCAGAAACACTTTAAGTCATCTATAGAGTTGTTACAGAAAATGCATACAATAGAACCCAGGGGAAATCTTTTTTGTGATATATAATACATAATATCACAAAAACTGGAAGACAAGATAGCCTACTTTCTTTAACACTTTCCTTTGAAAGATGTTCATATATTTGCTATAAAAATAAAAACAATACACAGCCATAATGAGCAAGCCCTTGCTCAGACAGATCTTGCCCGTGCAGGAAAAAAAAACCCAAACCAAAACCCACCCTGAAAGTGAGAAAGTCCTCCCCATGATTCCTTAGACAGACATGAAACGTAAGTATAAACAAGGTTTATGAGTGTTTTAAGAGGCTTAACAGGCAGAGAGGAACTCACTGACATTCAAGTTTAATGGCTCAGCCTACACTATGAGAAAACATATTCCCTCTCTCTCTCTTTACCTCCCCTCACAGGTCCCAAACATTAATACTGTACCTCTGAGGAGACTGATGCATTTTAATATATTTCTATTTAGGAATTACCAATAATTTAAATTGATGAATGGCACTCACTAAATTGTTTGAGAACAATCTAGTGACACAAATTCTTAAGCCTTTGCTCTGTAGAAGAAAGCCTTTTCTTTTAAAACTTAATTTAATTCAATGATTGACATTCTTATCATGAATCAACAACCACTTTGTGCCACTACCAGTACTCACCTGCTGCTGGCATACCTCTGCGTACTACTTTGACATCCACCAGGTCTGAAGGAGACAATTCCAGCACACAACTAATACAAGCCTTTGCAGCTTGTACATTTGTTTTCAAAGCAGACTGTGATGAACTTGACACTAAAAGTAAGTTCAGCTGGGGAAACAAAGAAACTCTCCTTACCTAGAAGATAACAGAATGGCATAAGGGACTGGACCTCTTACCTGCTGGGACCAGGTTCAACACTACTACTGATTCCAACAGAATTTAATCATAAACTCTTTACTCCAGCAAAATTCCTCTGGACTTCAGTGGAATTCCTACTTGAATAATGAGCGCCGGATCAAATCTTTGTATAGAAGACAGATATTTAATTTTCTTAGGCATTTCAAGGAGGTTTCTTTGTTACCTTGGAGAGTTTATCTTGTTTTAGTTATAATGAAGGTTCCATATGCTTCAGCTCATAACAGGACAATATGAGAAGCAGACTCAAATCACGATTTTCTTCAAATTCAAAGGCAAATAATTACTTTCTTAAAACAGATGAGAGCAAATGCAGGCAATGCATTTGTGTGGAGCTGCACGTGAATGAGCAACCGAGTCCGTAAATGGTTCTTATTAGAATCTGTTTCTACAACACATGGGCGTGAGCAACAAATAAGAAAAACAGCACTGTATGTAATAGAAAAAAAGAACTGGAAAATGAAGTCCACTGTTTTCCGATAACAACATTTGGGTCCTAAAATACTGAATTCCACTCTACCACTGCCAATTTAAAAAATTGTAATGTATTATAAAAGCCAATAAAACTTGCTATTTTGGTTTTGTTTACAGTACTTTTAGCCACAATAAATGCTCCATTTGTCAGGCTGCCATGAGCTTATTCTATAGAAAGCCTGTACAAAGTAGGAAAATAGCCAATAACATACATGAACAAAACAGGGTGGCTTTTATGAGAGCAGATGCCCTCTTATTTAATAACCAAATATTACATCCAGTCTTGCAGACAGTCTTTATTTAAACAAACCTTGTACAAAGTCTGGCAAATTTTGCCAACTTCAAAGGAAGCCCTACTGCCTCCTGAATGACATTGATACTTCTTGCTCTCACCTTCAAATGTTCTGTAGGACAACGTCCTCCAGACACCCTCTAATTTTGACTTTTACCCTATGGTTTCCATCAGAATAACCTTTGCTTCTTTTTCTCATCTGTTCTGAGTGAGCTAATGGGCTTTCCCTGTCTTGCACAGGTTCCTGATAATTCTTATTTTGTAAGTATTACATAAATTACCACTCTGTATGCTGACAAGTTTTTTGAACATGTAAAAGAAGATCAACATTCAAGGCTGAATAGGGAAAATCCTGCCGACCAGTCAGCCCTGGAAAACAAAACCCGTATCTGAAGAAACGTGGTTATTTTCTAACCAGAACAAAATTACTCCATTTTGGCCATACCTACAATTAGGGGTGGAAAAACCAAACTCCCTTAATTCTAAGAAAGACAATAACCATCTTCTGCATACTATTAAAGTAAATTGTGTAGTATTAGCAGTTGTGAACCTTTTACCTTAGTAAAGATTGACAGGAAGAGCGAAGGTGGAAACTGAAAAAAGTTACTATAAATAAGTAAGATACAAAATTCTGGCCTGCCTATTCCATCCACATAGCTAGCAATCTACAAACAGACTTATATTTTCATCACAATGTCTTCAACTTCTGATTTTTTTGCCATTAACTTGGTTTTCCGACTCACCTTTGCTTGTCTGTACTATTCTCATTGCACCTTCATCCTGCATTCAACAAATATTTTGAAACCAGCATCTTGTTTCATTTGTAATAGAAAGAAACCGATGTTGATGTGTCTTATCCTCCAAATCTGCCATGCAATTTGAGAGTTCCAAGCCCTAGCCCTCTCCTTTGAAAAAGCATCACTCAACCTATTCTGCTCACTATGTAACGGTGAGCAGGACAGACTGACACTATGGGTAAGAAAAATAGTAACACTACAGGTAAGAAAAATAGTAACACTACGGGTAAGAAAAAACACTATGTGATTTTAATTACGTTTTAATTATGTACTTAAAACTTTTAACAGCCTCCAAAACCACTGGTATACTTGTCTACCAATTTCAACAGGAATTAGAAGTTTTCTGGCCTGCACATTCCACCTGGCCATGACAAATGTCCTTCTAACTCTGTCTTCTTGCCAGCACCGAAGACGGAAAGTATTGAAGGAATTTTCCCCATTCATTTTGCTGCTTCTCAAATACGCCACTCTGACTCTACCAGTAAACACCTACTGAGCTGATCTAATTTTACTTTGCTGAAATTATTAGACTGAACCCCAAAATTTTTGTAAATTCCTCATTTTAATTCACATATTGCCTAAGGAATTCTGGAAAAAGCCACAATATCATCACAGCATCCATGAGGCTTCTAACCTTGATTTTACAGGTACAATCAGCATCCTAATCTGCTACGCAGTGACAAGGACAATTTTCTACACTAGCAGGTACTTCTAAAACCACCCCTACAAATGACCATCAAAATCCAAACGACAGAACCTGTCCATCAGGTGTCATAGGAAAGACGTACTCCATCACTTTAGGTTTCTACATTCAAGCTAGATACACCAAAGAAACTTGCTTCACAAAATCCCACTAACTTTAC